GCTATGATCCTGAGGTCTGAGACCAGGAATATGATCCTGAGACCTGAAACCAGGACTAAGATCCTGAGACCTGAAACCAGGACTAAAATCTGAAACCAGGACTAAGATTCTGAACCCTGAAACCAGGACTAAGATCCTGAACCCTGAAACTGTCAGGTCTGAGACCAGGACCAAGATCCTGATCTCTGAAACCAGGAGGTCTGAGACCAGGAATATGATCCTGAGACCTGAAACCAGGACTAAGATCCTGAGACCTGAAACCAGGACTAAAATCTGAAACCAGGACTAAGATCCTGATCCCTGAAACCAGGACTAAGATCCTGATCCCTGAAACCAGGACTAAGATCCTGATCCCTGAATCCAGGACTAAGATCCTGAAACCATGAGGTCTGAGACCAGGTCTAAGTTCCTGAACCCTGAAACCAGGACTAACATCCTGAACCCTGAAACCAGGACTAAGATCCTGAACCCTGAGACCAGGTCAGGTCTTAGATCTTCATAAAACCTTTCTGTTTCAGATAAAACCAGGAAGGACGATGGCTCCAAGTCCAAACCGGACCYGTACGGTGAGTCACGTCACCTGACGGGACGCTCGCTGTGTTTTGATCTGAACAGCCAATCAGAAAGCAGGATTTCTTCTTCTCTTGTTTCTGCAGCCGTGTCGAAGCCTGATGAAGAGGACGGCTTTGTGGAGAACCCTGAACCCTGTCCCGAGGACTACGCCGAGTTCTGCGAGCACGGACAGTGTGAGCTGAGGCAGAACCTTCCCACCTGCAGGTAGGACCCCCAGACTCAGGTCAGACCTCAGACCAGACCCCGCCCTGGGCCTCGTCACCTGTGCAGGTGTAACCGTGTGTTCCTGTGTCAGGTGTGAGGCGGCGTACGGCGGCTCTCAGTGCGACCAGCTCCTGGACTTCAACATCCTCTACGTGGTCCCCAGTGGACAGAAGCTGCACTAYGTCCTCATCGCCGCCATCATCGGCGCCGTGCAGATCGCAGTCATCGTGGCCGTGGTGATGTGCTTCACCAGGTACTGTCACCTGGTTATTTATCCTGATATTACCTCACATCATACAGAACCAGGGTGCAGGGAGGGACTGAGACCAGCAGAGTCCAGCAGAGACCAGCAGACTCCAGCAGAGTCCTGCAGAGTCCAGCAGAGTCACCACTGTAAGCTCAGAGCTGCAGTGACACCTGTCAGCCTGCAGAGGGCGACTCTGACACACAGTTTCAGTAATGATCAGACATTTACTGCAGATTATTTTATTTTTATCTTTAAATGTTGAGATTTATGTTAGTAAAATAACTTGCTGACTCATTTTATGAGTCCTTGTGATAAAAATGTCTCCTTGCTGTCTAATCACACTTTGTCCTGTCGTCCTGCAGGAGGTGCAACAAGTCGAAGCGTGGCCGCAGACAGAAGCAGCACCTGGGACACTTCCCGTCGGGGACGTCGTCTCGGATGATGTAGCTGCTTTTTCTTTGTCCTGCCAGTTTTTTTTATTTAATTTAATTTTTATTTTTTTATAAAACGCTCCCAGTTTTGGAACCACAGACAGACTGCAGTTTTATAATCCAAGTTCTGGTGCCTCTGAGTTATTTTATCCCTTTTTATAAATGTATCATTTATTTACTTAAAGAGGCCTTATTTTCTCACTGCCCTTCATGTTTGTTTTACATCCTCTGTCTCTGAGCAACAGGAAGCAGAACCTTTATTTATCTGATTGTATCGTCTCTCTGCACCGTCCACAGCTGGACCCACAGGTCCTGTCTCTGTTAGTCCACAGCTGGACTCACAGGTCCTGTCTCTGTTAGTCCACAGCTGGACTCACAGGTCCTGTCTCTGTTAGTCCACAGCTGGACTCACAGGTCCTGTCTCTGTTGGTCCACAGCTGGACTCACAGGTCCTGTCTCTGTTAGTCCACAGCTGGACTCACAGGTCCTGTCTCTGTTAGTCCACAGCTGGAGAGATGCACACAGACTCAGATTTATGTTTTTTTGTTTTCATCAGTCATGTTTAAAACTTTGTGCAACATTGTGAACAACGACAGGAGAGAAAACTTTAAATTATTGTGTTTTTCACCAACTCATCAAACATCTTTAAATCTGATTTATGAGGCTTTATTTCCAGCTGTTCCAGCTGTGCTTCTGTTCTGACTCTGTGTGTTTCTGTTTGTTGGCCTCGTTAGTCAGCTTCATTCAACCTGCTCACAGRTTAACAGATCATTCAAATCGACCAGAACAAGTTTTCTTTGATGGAGACACAAACAGAAGTGGTGAACAAATGAAAAATATCAGATAAATGAATCTGATCAGTGGATTTAATGGTAAAAAAAAAGACAATTAAGTAATTTGTCAGTTGATACTTAATAATCTTTAATCTGTTGGCTGGTTAAACATGTGTTCAGCAGGAACTTGATTAATTAATCAGTTGGTTAATAAGCTGCTCAGATTATTGGTGGAACAATCAGCTGACAGCAGCTGAACCTGTTTCAGTTTCAGATTTAATCTGAGCTCCAGATTAACAGAGAAACAAGTTTTAATCTGTGTGAAACAGTTTTTACAGACAGTGAAAAGATATAAACAACTGGTTTGGTTTTTAGGGATTAAAACCATTTTTTAATGTTTTTTATTTCATTTTCTGAAGAAAAAAAACAGTAAAAGTTTTATTTATTTTATTTTATTTTAAATTTTTGTACATTTCACCTTCAAACTGAAATGTCCGCGTGTCAAACAGATATTTCACCTTTGGCCCAGCGTTTTCATTTATTTTTGTCACAAACTTGTTGTAAGGCCTTAAACCTCCAGGGGGCGCTCTGCAGGGGGACTCCAGGATGATCAGGGACCAGTGAAGCTCTGCAGAGTCCAGTCCTGATGTTCCCAGAACCCAGATCTAAGCTGGATTTGATTTGTTTGTTTGTTACGATGAGATGCACCTGAGAACCAAAATGCTGTTTTTTCTACGTAAATAATGAGGTGTACAGCTTGTTGTTTGTGTTTCAGGTTCTGGTCCAGATTGTTTTTCAGGTTCTGGTCTCAGGTCCAGATGTGTTTGGACAAGCTGAGGATAATTTAAATCTTTTATAATCTGAAGTGTATCGATGGTACGACGTGTCTTACCGTGGTGTCGTGGTAGAAGGTGGGCCGGGGGTCCTCCAGGTGGCGCTGCTCTGGGATCAGATGGGTTCTGGTCCAGGTACTATGGCTCCTGCAGGAACCCGGCCTGATGTTACTGTAGATGTTGCGTCCTGCATGAACCAGTGAAGTTGTTTAGACTGTGCTGTAGCTGAATTAAATTATGATGTTTGAACCAGTTTGTCTTTGATCCAATCATTAATCAGGTTCTAGTTGGAGTTCAGAGACCAACTGTTTGGACTAAACTGGGTCCAACAGAACTCTGATCCAAACACAGCAGCTGATCTACAAGAATCAACTCAAGCAACGATCTAAAATCCAGAACCTACAGGGTTCCTGCAGATCCTTAAAAAGTCTTTGAATTGATCAGTCTAAAAATAWGGCCTTAATTATCCTTAAAATGTCTTAAATCAATCTTCAGAAGTYTTAAAAATGTGAACACATTGTAAATAGGATGACTGTAATTCCTCTCAAATATTAAAACAATTGGTAACATTTATTTTTTTAAATATTCGCATGCAGACATTCCCCTGTGACATCACTTCCTGTTATTTCACCTGCAAATATCTCAACTGTTCATCTGAGCAACGTGACATTTGTTTTGTCATATTATAATAATGTTGTCTTTCCAAAAATACATTCATAATTCTTACAAACATTACATCACAGGTACTTTAAGGTTTCATCTACAGCAGGGGTGTCAAACTCCAGTCCTCGAGGGCCACTATCCTGCATGTTTTAGAGGTTTTCCAGCTCCAACACACCTGATTCAGTGATTGAATTAACTCTTCAAATTGGGCAGAAGCCTGTTAATTACCCAGCGATCAAAATCTGGTGTGTTGGAGCAAGAAAACCTCTAAAACATGCAGGATAGTGGCCCTCGAGGACAGGAGTTTGACACCCCTGATCTACAGCAAACTGGCTTAGACCCACTGTGGGTCCTAAAACCACAGATTTTAGGTCGTTAGAGGATTTCCTGAAATTAAATTAAGACTGACTCTAAGAAGGTTTCTGCTATAGTTAGATATGGATAAAAACAATTGGTCTCCTTGAATATTTAAATCAAAAATACTTTGATCATGAGTTTCTGACAGGTTTTATCTATTTTTTTGTCATTTATGTTCATTATGAAATGGGTCTTAAATTTAATTTCACTTGGCCTTAAAAACTCTTAAAAAGTCTTAAATTGAACTTTCCTCAAACTGTAGGAACCCTGACCTGACTAGAACCCTGTGGTGGACCTTCAGGTAGCTGAACAGAACCTGAATGAACTGAAGCAACGATGGAAAGAAGAGTGGGCCGAAAATCCTCCACAACCAAGACAGACACACAAAACCACTGGGAGTCCTACAAGCTGCTGGATCAGGAACTGGAACCAGTTTGTTCACTGTAGAACCTGATAAAGACCAGATCAGTTTTATAAAGTCCTGATACAAAAACTAGAAACTAAAGAACCTGGGTTTCTCCTCAGGTCTGACAGAAACGTTGGACCGGGGTCTCTTTGGGTCTGTAACGGTCCAGAAAACAGAAATGAAACTTTGTCTACAGATTCTGGACTCTGTCTGTTTTCAGTCACAAAGTAAAAATCAGGCTCTTCCAGCAGGTCATGAAGCCTCAGGTCTCATGAAGGTGGATCAAACATGGCGCTGAGAGCAGGATAATTATAGGCAGCAGCTGGTGGAGGGATGGGTGGGAGTCGTCCCCCCCCCCCCACCCTGACACCTTCTGTCATCTTCATCACGTCTTCTGTTCAGAGTTTAGAGCATTTAAATCATTTTACTTTTAAATGTCAGCCTGCAGCGGCCAAAAACATCAAAACTAAAACATCTACAGGTAAGTTCTGACTTGTTTTCATTACATCAAACCTAAAAAATAACTCTTAGCATCAACATATTAACATCTCCAGCTTCAGGCTAGAATAAAAAATCATTTAAGCTCCTAAAATCCTTACTTCCTGTTTCTCAGTTCAAAACCATCATGCAGTAATAAATGAACTTCACTTAGTTCTTCACTTTTACCTGATTTCACCTCTTTAAGTTTTAAACGACCGCACTTTTAGTTCTTTATTTGTCCTGACCTCATTTGACCTTTAATGGTGCAGATTTGTTAATATTTAAATAAAACATGTTTTTTTTGTTGAAACTTTAACCTGATTTTATGGTGCATCTCCATTGACTGAAGCTTGGTTCATCTTTCCCAGCTGTTCTAGGCTCCGCCTCTTCAGACCAAGTTTGGACTTCCTGTTCGGAGCTAAAATGGCAGCCATGGAGGGCTAAGCTTAAAGAATGCTTTGAGAAGCTTTAACCTTTCATTTGTGATCCTGTTGGGACTGAAATAAAGTCTAAACCTGGAGGCAGGGATCAGGACAGAACAAGTGAGCGGATGATGGAGGGATGGAGGGATGGAGGGATGGATGGAGGGAGTTTCCATGTCTTTTAATACACTCATGTCCCAAAGAAGAACAGGGCTCACTTTACAACCAGTGTATTTTTAGCAGCAGAGAAACACTGAGGTCCAGGTCTCTTTATCCCAAACATTCCTGCAGAAATCTGTTTAAAGGTTTTCAGCTGCAGGTCAGAGTTTCTCTGGAGATCAGAGGTCATAAAGAACCGGTTCAAACAAAGACGATCCTGCAGGAACTTCCTGACTTTGTTTCTTGTTGCTGGTGAATCTTCAGCTGAGTTATCGACACATTGGTTGAATATCTGAGACCCTCATTGATCTCCTCGCTGCTCCTTCAGCTCAGGTTTCTTTAGCCCGTCCATGGTCCCCTCCTCCCTCTGTGTTCCTGTCCTCCCTGCCTCCCTCGTCCAGCTGGGTGGAGTCTATCACTTGATCTGGACGGTTTCAGGGTCAACCTGCAGTTGGGCAGAGCTGATCCAGTTCTCCTCCATCGTTTGAACCCTGATCTGATGTTCTCCACTTGTTGCRGCAGAACTTGCCTTCAGCTCTTCTTTTTGATTTGGATCTCTGGACTCCAGCCTCTGAGGGACCGGGCCGACCAGCAGGTATGACAGATAAGCCGGGCATGCCCACAGGAGGCGGGGACGATGCCGGCGGCATCATGGCCCTGCTGGAGCGCGTGGCGGGCCTCATGGACAGCGTCCAGGCCACCCAGCAGCGCATGGAGGAGCGACAGCTGGAGCTGGAGAACACGGTGAAAACCATCCAGGCCGACGTGGTCAAGCTGACCAACGAGCACGCCAACACCAGCTCCACTGTGGACCGGCTGCTGGAGAAGACCCGCAAGGTCAGCCGCCACATCAAGGACGTCAGGGTCCGCGTGGAGAACCAGAACATCAGGGTCAAGAAGGTGGAGGCCACACAGGGCGACCTGCTGGCCAAGAACAAGTTCAGAGTGGTGATTTACCAGGTAAGGTTCTGAAAGAAAACCTTTAACAAGTTCTGGAAACTTCTTATGTTTCACTGATCCCTTCAGCGTCAACTCAGGACTCAAACTTTGAMACAATAACTTCAACAAACCAAAGCAATGGTCATCAGGATCTGACCCTAAACAGACCAGTAATCAGGAGTCAAACACTTAAACCTGATCTCATTTTGAACAGAACTCACATTTTGTTAGTTTTAGCTTAGAGCTGCAGGATCACAGAGACCAGCAGGTGGAAACAGATGATTTATAGAGTTGGACCTGGTCTAAAACAGGCATCAGGGTGAGTTTAACTCCTGCAGTAAAGGCTAAATATTATCTGTAACTTCACRACAACAGTTTCACAGTTCAGACCTGTTTATGTGCCATTTTGTTTAATTTTAATCAGATTTTGTGTTTAAATCCACAATATAGGAACAATTATATTGAAAAAAGAAAAATCTTGAAATTCCAAGATACTTTTATCTAAACTAAAGCTTCATATAGAAAGACTGGTTTAACAAAAACTAAACCTACATTAACATGTACGTCTCTGTTAATCCTAATCTGAGTTCCTCTAACATGAATCCCTGTCAGTAAATGCCTCGGTTGGTCTTGAGGGTTGAAATAGTGACGAGTGTTCCAGCAGGACTCAGTTTACTTCTCTGGCCTTCACAGCTGACCTGCTTATTTTAGCTCTGCAGGAACCTTCAGCACGTCTGCTGAGAGCTCACTGAACACATCTGAGGTCCAGCTGCAGATTGTAGATTAGAATATAAAGACGTTGGGAAGCTGCAGGCAGAGGTTCWGTTCTGGAGGCTCACATGTTCTGTTGGTTTGACCACAAAGGTCCAAACATCAGATGAAGCTCAGGTCCTCACAGGAACTCCAGACCTGCTGCTTCCAGTCATGTAGATTACGCCCCTTTTCCACTAGTGTCGGTACCGTTCCAGGACATTTCCATTAGTCCAGATCCATGGAACCGGCACTTTTTTTTACTTCATTGTGGTTCCAAGCGGCCCCAGTCGACACCAAAATGTGACGTCAGAACACTGTTCATCACTGATTGGTCAGGGGGTGGAGTCACTGGTTGCGTCTAAGCTGCCAACTCAAGGAGCCATTTTTTTTTCAAYTGTAGCAGTGACATTAGCTGTGATTCCATCCAATTTTAATTCGAAATTTTTGCAAATTTTTAAAATTTCAAAAGTTATTCATCAAATGTGTTTCCATCTCTCATTTTACCCATTATTTTTTTTTCAAAAAACCTAAAAACCACCTCCACCAACTGCCCAAAACACACCCACTGGAACTGGACTGGGACATCAGTGGAAAACCAACCGGTCCGACCCGTACCTACACCGACCGGTCCGACACTACACCATGGAGAAGGAGCATTAGGTTCTCTTAGGTTGAGTTTGACCCATAAGTTGACAGCTGGGTCAAATTTTAATTAAAGCACATTTCTGTCATTTCTGAGCCTTGATCAATCAGTGGTTAGATTTAGTAGAATTAGTTTATTTATTGTACATTAAAACAGTTTCCATTAGAACCTCGACACGTTCAGTGTTGGATGATGTCTCAGGTCCAACATTAACAGGAAGGTTGGAGCTCAGAGCTGACGTCATATAAGTGAYGGAACCAGCTGAGCTCGGAGTTATTCTGAGTCTGGACCTTCACCTCCTAATATAGCTGTTCTGCTCCTCTGCTGGCTGCGAGCAGCTGCTGTGAGGAGGAACTGCTCCGAGTCAGAGACGATCAAAGAATAACTGGTAAAAAGGCTCAGGACCTGTGACCTGTCACTGACCTGCCGTTCTGCTCACAGCTTGTAAAGATGTGTTTAACCTGAGGTTCTGCTCGGACTGTGAGGACCGACCCAAAGGTTCTGTTTACTGAATGAACTGTGTTCAGATGAACCGACTCTGATCTGGGACTAAAATCTGTTGAATGAGTCTGAAGCTTCTTCCTCTACATCCAGATCCTCCCTCCAGAAATAAACTGCAGCACCTGTTTGTGGAGCTCAACTCATTGAGCTCCACAAACAGGTGCTGCAGTTTATTTCTGGATCAGAACCATCCCAGTCTGCAGCACACATTTGACCCAGACACATTTAAAACTGACCTCATTATTAAACATGGTGCCATAATGAATTCTTATGAAGATGTTTATGTCAGTGGCATCACCAGGCCTATTATAGGGGGGCTGGAGCCCCCTAAACTATTTTGGTGTAAAAAATTATTTTTTTTACAAAAATTCAATTTGATGTTGTCAGAATAAACAACCATTTAATATTTCATATATATTCATATACATACATGTATCATACATACATATACAT